TTTATTACACGACTCGGGCAGTCAGAGGGCCAATAACTAAAATCAACCAATCAAAATGCTCTATTGCCGGTCAATATTCTCTCAGTATTGGACCGGGCACTGTCCCGAATGGTCCCGAATGATACCGCACTTGTGTCCCTTTGAACTTCAGTCGTATAATAAATCTCTTATTAACCAAGCTTGCTCGGGACCGTACTGGAAGAATATCGGCCCTCGGTCTTTTTTGTACGGACCGAGCTGCGCTCGGTCCGTACTGTCAAGACCTCGGGCCGATATTCTTCCAGTACAGCCCTCGCGCTTGGTTAATAAGATATATGTATTAAGCATTTTAGGTTTTTTACGTATTGCGTGGTCCCGCTAAAAGCACTTTGCTCGCTTTCTTGTCTGTCTAAGATGTAAATGTGTTAATTGTATAACAGAGTTTTCTATTACACCTGTATTATTCACTGTGCTGGTAATTACTGAAGAAGTACCGCAGCTGAACCCACTTGTAAAATCTATCAGGTTTGATTTATTCTGTAGACTTCGAAGGTGTCTTGCATATGAAAGTGATACGATTCTCGCACTAGAAGACGAAAAAATAATGATATTGTAAAAAGGTTTTGGCTCTCAAACAAGCTTTCAAAACGTTTCAAAATACAGGTTTTGTATTGAAAAAGACACGTGACAAACTGTTCTTACCAAAACATTTGTACGTTGAGCAGTTCAGTGTTGTTAAACTTCGCCATCAGAAACTCCAGAAGGGATGCTTTTTAGCGAGGTGCTTTAAGACAGAGGGACCTGCTAGGGAGAAGGGGTTCATAATAGAGGCGGATTATTATAAAGGGGATTTTTAGAGAGGAAGATTTACTGGAAAGGGGTATTATAGCGACGGGGCTTATTGGAGCATCTGCATTATGCCAAAGAAGAAAAGTGCTTGGCGCGGAATTTGTGACCAAATAAAACTCCCAATAAGACACAATTCTAACAATAAAATTCTTGTTAAAGAGAATTTTGGAAGCTTGTGGAAAGTGTTAAGGAGAGCTTTGTTTCTGATCTTGACAGAAATCGAGCAACAGCGCTTGATGGACCTGGAGGCCCAAAAAAATCGCCTAGATCAGGAAACCAGCACTAAACTAGCTGAGCTTAACAACAGGTAAGGAAAGTTCTTTCAGCAATTTTCAATTGAGCTTCAAAGATAATCCGGGATAACATTTGTTTTCGTTGGCTGCGCTCTATAATTATCCCAAGAATTTCTCGACAGCATCTCGACCAACCAGATGCAAAAGTAAAACGAATCGCCACCTGGTCACGTGAGTTTTTCCCGCGTATTAAGCCGTTAACGTGTATTTACTTTGATTTCTCATTGGCTCAATGTGATATGCGCCTTTGTTCTCATTGGCCGTTGTGATTGTTCTCGTTTGGTTTACGACTCATCGATTAAGCCCCATATATGAAGGATGTTCTCTCTTGTCAAGAAACTAAGGGCCGGTTATTTACATGACGTCTTAACCAAACCGCGGTTTTACTCAAGCAGTGGGCCTTACGCATTCTCTTTAAGAGGGTTGTTTTCCAATTTAATAAATACCCTTCCACTGCAAGCTTTTGGTCCTCCTGACACCGTTCACAAAAATAGACGGTTAGGTAAAAGATTTAGCTCAATTCAAGATAGTTTAGAGCGCGATTGTGGTAAACAAAGGCTAAACTTTGTTTAAATAACCCGCCCCTAACCATTATGGTTCATTGTACGAATGTGAAAACTTACGACAGGGTCTGGTTTATCACAATCGGTTAAAAAATACAGCAGCTGCGCTGTTTTCAGTTTTTTTTTTCTCGTTTCTTGGAACAATATCGGAGAATAGAGCGGTTCTTTAGTTCCAGATTCAATGTTTTCGGTGTTCTTGGCGAGACGTTAGTCTTCTTTAGCCCAGCTTGAAAATTGCTCAAAGCTCACTGGACTTCAGACGTCAGAGATGTTGCTAGGCAAAATGACGTAATCATGACGTTCAATGTGGAGCAAAATGCTTAGTTTTGAGTTTAAACCTGCGAATAAGATAAAGGGAATTGACTATAATTTAGATAAAGGCTGATAGTTTCTAAAGAAACTGTTTGGGGCTGCGTCGGTGGGGGTAACGAAATAATTTG